AAGCATTACCAGCGTGACAGCTAAAGAAGTCACTTCTGTTTGGTGAATGTTAATAATCCAGTCCTGTTTCAGTTCAGTAAGACTTAATTACTATATACAAACAGTAGTGATAATTTTTTGAAGATGCCTTGCAAGCAAAGACAAAACATGCTAGTTTACCTCTCTTGCAATTTCTATCTTTGAAAATAATAGCTCGATTCCAGATTATCCTTACAACTCTCTAACTCTCCTGACAATTAAAAGTTGATCATCCAAGACTTAATGTGCGAAAAATCAATCAGAGCACTACTATACTGAAATATCAGCAGAGCATGCAAAAATAGTAATACTTTAATTCTAATATCTTAATCCTTGACCAGTGCACGTTCCCTAATTTTCTTCTGATCATTAATTATCAGCTAGTATGAAAGAAAATTTCCACTGCCTTGTAATGCATAACAGAGCAAAGGTTATCAATTATATTATTTCTTGTTTTTATCTAACAACAATCGAGTAAAAAAACTCATATTCTAGTAACACCTTATAAAAAAAAATACCAGCAAGCATATATATATATATATATATAATGCACCTTTTCCATGATTTACAGTGAATTTTTGGAGTAACATTCCATTTTTCAAGGAGAAAATCATCAAGGAAATGCCACGCCACTTTCCGAATTGTATTAGCATTATAAGCTGGCTTACTGCATAAGACCTGAAACCTCACTTACGTTGTAGAATCATTAATACTCAATCTACTTCCAACCAATTTTATAGGATTGGAGGAACTTGATATTTTCTTAGTTTTCCGCAGAAAAATATCAGTTTATTGCGAAACTGAGACAAAACAGAATTTAGTTGCAATGATGTCTTGAACAGAGTCATTACAAAGAAAAGATTGATGACAAAACGTCTGAATATGGTAATGTAAAGTAAATATTAACTGTAACGGGTATAGTGACATTTCCTTCAACTTTTGTGAATCTGCGACATTTCATTATAAGCTTGTCGTTAAGATTTTCATCTAATCTGCGATCCTCGCGTAAATAAGCAGCATCTGTAATCACTTCGCAGGCTGCATCTGACAGTTTCAAAACAATTTTTGTGGCTTCTTGATTATTGTTCGCCTTTATAACCAACAAAGGTGCATGCAAACGCGATAGATTATTTTCTAAGCAATTCAGTCCTTCTAAAAGGAATTTTCGTTGTGCCAAATTATGCCGATCTGCAATAAATGATTATTAATTCATTCAGAATTTATGAAATATGACACTAAAAGAGTAAGTAATGCTTTAAAACCATGATGATTTATGAAATTCTTGTTCCAGTTAAAACGATGAAGTGGGTAGAAAACTGCCTGGTTGGTATATGTAGGTGACAAGAACGGGTACTCCATGTTCATTGGCTTTTCCAGATGCGAATGAAAATGAAGGTGATTGCTGTGAACGGATACATCGAATCAAAAGAAGAACATACTTTCCTACGACAATATTTTGCTTGTTTAAGGGCTGTATACGGGGGCTTTCCATCCTGCAATACATTCACTACTTCTTGCACTTATGGACGCTAAGTGAATCGGCTAATTCCGTCACATAATATGAGCACTGAGCATGTTGTCCTAAATTCATGTTCACTAGTAAAACAATACCCTCCCACCTTCCACGTCGACAACGTGTAGCAGAACAGCTTACTGATATCATGATATCATTCCAGATGATAACCATGGCGGGGAAAAGTTGAAGTTCCCTGAACAATATACCCTCACATCTCTCATTTTGGTATGATTCTTCCTGCAGTTCTCATCAGGTAATAGGAGGAGGTACGTTATTGTTCCTTGACCTGAATCCCGCAATATGAGAAGATCTGAAGAATAATGTCCTCTCTTAGAGCACTACATGATGTGCAGGCAGGCGTTTTCGTGTATTTCTTTTTATAATTAACAATTTCAACCCTTGCTTTATCGTCATCGTACAAAGAGGTTATCAGTAAGAGTTACAAAAGTGTAAGTACAATGAGTACATCGGAATGTACACATGAATAGAATGGTTGAGCAATTGATTCAAGACAGACTTTAACTCTAGGCGAATTTTATCAGAGTTGTTAACTGCAAATGCCTCGATCTGCTCGACAATCAGCCCCAACCACCGCCATAAACAGTAATCCATTTTGGCACATGCATAATTGATACTGGGCACTCCCTCGAGCTTCACTTCTCGGTAATCCAGACATGACTATACTATTTGATTCAAGACGAACTTCACCCTGCAAACTTCTCATATCATGAAGAAATGAAAATACTGCTGTGCGGAAACTGCTGATCACAGCTGTGGAAACAATTTATGGAAAAGTAACTGGTGGAAATGATTCTCGTGAGTGCTTGATTATTAAAATGAACTGACCTGTTTAGAATTTATAGTGATATCAAGAAGAGATGACAGTTGAATTTCTCCGGCTGCACTAATAATCTCAATATCTTGACCTGCTTCTAGGTACAGACTTCTAGTTGGTGATTCCAGGCTAAAATTTTCATCTTGAACATAGTAAATGGATTGCTGTAATCATCACTTTATTAGTTCAGTTATTAGTTTCTTAGTTAATGCTTCCTTCCAGCTGCAGTTGAAAGTTCCGTTTTGTAAGATTCAACCTTATTGTGTGATGCCTTGCATCAATACGGCGACACTATCATCGCTTCAAAGTTAAATAGAAAACTTGCTGCACCATTCTGTTCTTTCTGATTCCATTAAATAGCTTTGCTGAATCTGAATCAAGAAATTCAACTAGGCTAGTTTATAATATCTAAACTGTTAATAAGCAAACCTTAGAGGACTGTCAGATTCCGGACGAATGAGTGCTGTTTGTATAGCTCCTTCGAAAACACTTCCACCGTCATCTGAAATTCTGTTAAATTTCATTATTTTCAATTCTTTTTTCCAGTAAATTGAACTTGGCATTTTCAAATCAACCAGTTGGGCCTTTTTCAAGCAATAAATGAATGAAGCGTTTCCTTTTGAAAAGAATCTCGAATTCAACTTGAAAACTACGTAGGTGCGTACCAAGTATCCGAAGATTTTCAAGTTTGAGGCCAATTTCGTTGGATTCAGCAAAAAATAGCAATTTTCGAGAATTATCGTAAATTTCAAAACGATCGCACACTGCTTCCATACGTCCATCTTGAAACATATTTAGCATAGCAGTTTGATATCCAGACATATTTCGAGCTTTTATGAAGACACCGCGGTACGAATCGATTGTCAACGCTTCATTCTATAAGTCTGTTGAATGCTTAATTCCATAATGAAGCCGTTGAATTCTGGATTACGGATCTAATATGAGTTTTAAAAAAAAGATTTGAATTAGTAATGAGCTCTTAGTTTGCTATTCGGAAAGTAAAACAAAAGGATTTTCAACTTACATCTGCAGTGGAAAGCTCTGCAAAATGAACAGGAAGATCAAACTGCGCTTCGCCCATAACTCGAATACTGTCATCTTCAATCCTCATTGTACCCATTCCAGTCTATCATATGAGGAGAATGGTATGTTGTGAATGGGTGAAAATAATATTGTAAATACAAAGTGTCAGGTAAAGCAAAAATAACATCTGTCCACTTTTGTTTAGCTTGGCTCATAAAATAAATATCTATATTTCTGATGATTAACTATGAGTTGATTGTCTTACTTCCTATAACTCGCGAATAAAGAACTGCATCCTTCCTGACAGATTTGAGGACAGATAAAGGAATAATATATACAATGTGAAAATAGAACGTACTGTAGAAATGTCGAGAACAGACATAATCCATACAGTCAATGCTAAATTCAATAGGACAGCAACAGTAAGCGCGCAGATGAAACAATACAAGCATCGCTTTCGCCAGCCATAAACGCCAACCCTAAAGATCTGTTCCATACTTCAATTTATCAAAATTAGTAGTAGCAGTTATAGAATTTTAACAACTGAAGTATAACAATTACTAAGAAAAAACGCAGTCTATCGGAAGTTCTGCCTTTTTTCAGTTCCACAATTTAGTATGAAATTAGAAGTTTCATCGATAGGGATAATTAATATAGCTCTCACAAGCAACTATCTTCTATTGTTTGTTTTTTGGTTATCCAATAAAAAAAAATGTTAATGTATCGATCGTTAATCAAATCTATCTGATGGTTAGACTCATAGTATCGCAGTATCGCTTGATTTCAACCCACAATTATATGAATATATCATCATCTCGACGATTTAGCAACGATTTCCGCGATAAGCTTGCTATTTTACTTAAATATTATTTACTTTTAAATTGCAATTCGTAATCACGTCAGGTTTCATGGCAGTAGCCATATGCATGTAAATATATTTATATGTACCTGTAAATATCAGATTCAGTAGGTGGTTTAACAGCAGAATGAATAACAGCAGTGGAATATGGCGGTACGGTAGCACCTTGCAACGGGGGAGGTGAACGATGAAAATCATATCCACTACGACCCCAAACCGGTTCCGCAGTCCGCTGATATAGCGGAAGACGACTGGTCACATCGGTGTTCATCTGAAAAGATTTACTTATTTCTGAAGAAGTCTGTGTTGTATTTTTGTAGGCATTGCTTGATTTTTAGTAATTCATTTCGATTTCACGAAAAATATAATGCAAACGGGGTCGTTTAATGTTTCTACCCAGACCCTGTTGCATTAAGCCTACTCATATCTACTCATATAACAGACATCTGTTATCCTGACCATGTAGAAATACTATTTCTTTGACTGCTTAGTCGATGGCATTGTTCGCTGCATTTCTTGAAAGTCACTTGGTATGTAAAAAAAATCACGGAAGTGAAAAGCAAATTTTTGAATTGATGCTTTAATGTCCGTATTTAATTTCCGACTTTAAGTATTGAATAAAAAGAAAAGTTATGTACACTTGCTAGAGAAATTCAACATAACAGTACTTATAAATGTATGAAAATCATGGATAGGATAGATAATAATTGTAGAAGCAGAGTTTAGCTATGGCGGTTGTACCTTTTTTTTATGTAGTATTTCAAATATTTCTATTTCGAAAAGAAAAATAAAAGAAAATTAAAAGATGGCTGTCAGTTGCTAATGATATCAAGTGGTTACTTTATTCACTTAAAAGAAATTAAATTCTCTTGAACTGAGCAAAAGAATAATTTCGAGTAATAATATGATTTAGCTGTTCAGTAAACGGTTAACAGTGATTTCAAAAAACAGTTCCATCCAGTATTCGATAACAGTGATGTATTTCAAAGTGATAAGACTCTTTCTATATAGATGGTAAGATATGTTTGCAGCAAGTAATTCATGCTGTGGGGTGGAAATGAATGATAAGATCAGACGATAGATAATAGGTCACTGCAAGCATGAAGCGCAAGTTGATTGCTGGTGGCGTTGGTTGCATATGAAAAGGCAGGAAACGGATAAAGTTATAATATATATATATATATATAT